TTTTCTTGAAAGGAACCTTCATATTAATATATCTGTCAAATTCAGGAGTGTACTAGTAGAAAGTAACTTAGAAGCATTTCAAATTGCAAAACCAAAGCCCCTCAACAACTAAAGAATGCCAATTTTAAAAGTGAAGTTTGTTTTTTACAGATACTTAACTTTGAATTTTAGTTAGACCTTACACATCTTTCTGGAAATTACTTATTTTGAGGCTAAGGGGAGAAAGGAAAGCAGAGGGCAATAAAAAGAGACCTCCAAGTTGCCTCTCTTCAAGTGTAATGCTTTTCATGAGACACATGGACATCTAACATAAGATGGTGAAAACACTAGAAAGTATCTAGCCCTGGGTCTATCTATCTCTAAGCAACCTGCTCATGTCAGAGACTTCAGCATAAAGGAGGATTATGAATGCTGGTGTTATCTTTTGCTTTCCTCCCTTATCTGCCTTCATGCAGTTCATGTCCTCTTCTGACACCCACTGCTTCTCAATGGCCTTGCAGAGAGCAGCCCTGCTCTGCCCTCGTTTGAGAGCAGAGAAAATAAAGCTGGAGGGAATGCAGGCTGACATCAATTCCCCACCTTTGCACTGCAACAAAGGGCAGCTATGCAAGTAGGCACCAGGCCAGCACAGCAGGGTAACAAGACAAAAATCAGTTTCGGGGAGATGGCAGTTTAGACTCATGATACTGCACCCGTACCAGTGCAGCACTGGCTTAGTCATTCGTGCAGAAAGGATAACAAGCCAGTAAACACTGAAGAACTAACAGTGAAGTCTAGGTCACAATCTATTACCAGAAAAACCACCACAACTATCCAAACCCTAAACAAAACCCACTGCCATGGAAAAAAAAAAAAAAAAAAAAATCCATGTGAAGGCCTGTTCTGACATAGCTGTTCATTCTGCAGGTCCAGCCTGCCTGAACCCAGCCCCTCTTCAGAACCAAACCAGCACTGGGATGACTTTGTGCAGAGGTATCTGCATGTGTGCACATCGCACCTCCTCAGTTCCATAACATCAGCAAACCGATGCCGGGTATATATCGTAATATTTTAACTCTGGAAAAAGCAGGCACTGAGGCTAATTATAAAGTGATTTGATGCATTTTGAGAAATTTTTAACTACCAGCCCAGGAAGGCGATGATTTTTTTAAAAAACCTCTTTTAACTAATACAACCATTTTAAAAGCTCAAAAGAATTGTTTAATCTTTCATCACCGTTAACTAAACCTCCACAGGTGGAACACAGAAAGAAAGTCCCATTTTGGTAGCAATACAGGGAAGAAGAAAAAAGACGGTCTTGTGATTTAAAAACTAATGGCTTGTTCATTCATTCTCCTGATAAACTTCCAAGATTTTCTAAGCATATATTGCTTAAATTAATTTGAAAATGATCAGCTGGGATTTGTTCAGCTACCAAAGCATGCTTATCATAAGGAAAGGCCCAGCATTGCTTCCACCAGTTCTCTCTGACGAGGAGAAACACCTATCAAACCTGAGTGAGCCACTTGTACACAGCACGAGAGATGCTGATATTGTAAGACACCTCCTTTTTCACAGTTCAAAGATTTCTAAACAGGAATGTGACAATCCAGAAGAAACACAACTTCTGCCTCTCAAAAACCCAAGAATAGTTTAGATAAAACTGAGAACTAAAATCAAGACAGCACAGGACTGATTCTGCCAGTAAGACAAGAAAGAGATCTCATGCATCACAAGATAAAATACTCTACATTCTGAATCCCTGCAGGATTTTTCTCCTTTAGAAAGAGCAATTCAATATGGCCACTTAACTTTTGGTAAGCCCTACAGCATGAATGAGCATTACATTCTTTTTCCATAATATTTTCAGTAATGACTCCATTATATTTTATAATATATAAAAGAAGACTTGAAATTGTTATGAATTTTTACTATTTCCCCCACTCACGTATCAGAAATACCAAGTCTAGTCTTCACTGGTTATAAAAGATGCCTGTGAAAATTTCAGGCTATGGTTGCTTATGTCGCTCCACAACTGATAAAAAGCAGATGTGTCCAACCTAAATCCCCTCATTTATCAGTGCCATTATATACTGAAGTTATAGATACTAATTCTTTGAACCATGCAAAATAATACAGTTCTCCCCCTAAAAACAGTGGAGATTTCAGTTGTTTGATCCTGAGTCATCAGTAGGCCCACAGAGTCTTACTGTTTCAAAGCTGAGAGCCTTTATTTTTCCACACAAAAGGCAAGAAGAAAAGAAAACACTCATTTGAAAATCCTCTTTATCCATGATAAAAATGGCCATAACTCTACTGAAGAAAAAACAGTAGAAACATTTTCCATGAATTCTGACCAAAGAATTTTAACAATTCTTACACAGGAACAAAGGTCAGTATAGCTACACAGTCTGCTTTTATCACTTCCCTACCACAGTCAGACATCCATGACATGGTCAAAGCGTACCTATCCCAAAGAAGTGTTGTAGCTAAGAAATATCGGGTTTATGGACAAAAATAGGCTAACTGAGGTCTGAAGAACAAGAAAAACCACAGCACAAGATAGAAGAGTATGTTTACTTTCCTGATTTGGTAGCAGATAAACAGAAAACCAGAAATGGTGGGAGGAGGGATGTAAAGGTTGTTATGAATAACTACCAGCTGTTACCAGCATAAGATTTTCCCACAAATTCACTATTACAGCTCTTCCCTTAAAAGCCATCTAGAGGCAACTGTTAAGTTTCACATGCTACCTGTTGAAGTACTTGCTTCTCAGCAGAAACATTTATACCAAATTACACATTGATAGTTACATTTCTCCAAATAAGTTGGATATTTTTTCCCAAAAATATAAGTTTAACACATATTCTGTAAGTATTGCTATCACCCATTAAACAAATAACACTTCCTATATTTAGGAGCTGAAGAAAATTGTTTCAAGTTTCACAGAAAAAACAGCCTGCAGATGTATCTTTACTTACACAGCAGTTATCACAAATGCTACTTTCTTTTCTTTTTTGTGGTCATTCATTCTGTTTCACAAAGGAGTTTAAAATTGTTACATCTCAAACAAAAGCCTATAAAAACATATTGAAAGATACAACATACTTAAAAAGAGTTTTCTTGGTTTCACAAGCTTTTCTTGTTTCTCTTTTATGAAGAGTTGAGAAATTAAAATTAGCATTTGAAAGTATTCAAAACATTGCCTAAACTTCTCATTTAGGTGTCAGATTCCACAGGTGCAATTTCTTATTACGTACAGTGAAACCTTCTTGAAATTAACCTTGCTAGGCAACCTCTGTTCTTAACGTGATAGAGCAAAACAGAAAAATTCTCGTTTCCCTACAACTGAAGATATTCTTAGACAAATAATCAACTAAAAACACAAAGCCTAAAATGAGTATGGAAAAAAACATGCTGTGTATCTGTCCTTTTACCTTACATATTGAGAATATCAAGGTTCTGTAACTTCTGATTAAGAAAAGAATCTTAACTCATACTGTTTCATCACGTAGTCAACTCTTCAGTCATTATTATACTCATATTGTAACTCATTACAGTCACAGTGTAACTCATGTTGGAGGTATTTTAGTTTTAATTTTAAAAAGTATTAATAAAAAGAGCACATAAAATGCACTGCCTGGAACAGCCGAGTACTGGGACAAAGTGACAGAATTTCTTCTTGCGATAAAGCTAATAATTTTTAAAATAGCAAACAAAATTATGCTGGCACAGCAATTTGCACCTTGAACTAAACTGCTTGCAAGACAAATACGATTACAACAAGATACTTCTTTTCTACAGCATTATTAAAGTCGCATTTTAAATTGACTTGAAATGATATGACTTTTAGGGAAATATCTATTTTTATACTGATTCTGGATTTCACTGGACCAGAACTCTTATTTACTGCTAATTCACAAAAGTGAACATATTATCAGTCAGTTGCTGACTAGTATTTATACAATACAGAATCTCTCAAGAAGTACTTGGAATTGAACCAGATAAAGTGTAATTTCTTACTTGCTAAGTTTTGCAGGTATCTATGGCCTCCCTCAAGATCTTAACACTCAAATGGCAAATTAAGATAATCCTGCAACTTCTAACTCCCACCCAATTAAACAAAAAAATAGAAACCAAAGTTTCTAATAAGCACTCATCTCCAAAATTATCACAGAACTACCTTTAATATGAAAGGCAATGCCTAAATACACACATTAAACTCAAACTACCTTAGAATTTCCTTGTCTAAAGCAAATGCATGGTTCAAGTCTTGCATTCAAAGGTTCTCCTGTTTCATTTAATCTTTCTTAGACACATATGGGAATATGTTAATTCTAAGCATTTAGTATTTTGTATCACAACACAGAATAAACAGTTTCACGTTTATAGTAAAATGCTCCCATTAAATAAATCTACTAGTGATAACAAATGACAGCTTCAGCAGATGAGAAAAACGCAGTGAAAATGGCATGAGCACCCATTCTACAGAGCACTTTCTGAAATACTTACAAAAGCTTTTCAATTTAAAAGACTCGAAAAATCACGATAAGTGAAGACAAAAAAAAAGAAGTTTTATTTTGCACTGCAATACAGATTCATGCCATCTGTGCAAAATAAGAACACTATTTTATAAAATCCTCTAGGAGACAATCTCTTTTCTTTATGGTCCAAGATCGCTAATACACCAGCTGTCTCCCAAATGATCAGTCGCACAAAAGTATGTTAAACAGTATTTATCTATTTCGACTTTTTCCTAATTCTGGTTCATTAAAACAGAGTCACAACCCAATCTAGTTTGTTGAATAACTCAAGCCACATTTGAATTATCCCCAAAATGATGACCTTAGTTAAAAAAAACCCAAAAAAAACCTCACCAAAACCATCAATGCTTCCCATGACATTAGACAAAAATTCTGCAGAACGACATTTTATATCCCTTAGCACAACTCAAATTTGAAAAAATTATTTATTAGTTTGCTAGACCTAAATATAATTAATACTTGATGTGTTGTATTTACCATTCTGTAACCCCATCCACAGTTGCTTATGATCCTTTTTTTGCATCTCATTGATGACTTGACTTTTGTGCTTTAAAGCATCTGCTTCTTTTATACAAGCCATAAAATGAGCTTCAATCACATCCTTAGAATGGCAGTGCAGAAGATCCTTTTCTGGAAAATTCTACAAAGAGAAATGATAGATCAAGAGAAATAACTGCATCACATACCTTGAATGATGAAAATAAATGATAATTTAAAACAGGCATATATTTATCCAAAAGAAGCATACTGGAATCTTCTATTTTATGGAAGAACGTAACAACCATTCACTCTGCTGAAAAGAAACAGTTTGCAGTGAAAATGTTTCAGGAAAAACAAAGCTGAACAATTTTCTGTAAAACCAGAATTTTAATGTGTTTTCAAGCAGATGTTCAACTCTCAGGCAATAAACAGGAGAAAACAGGGGGAAGTAAATGACAAGCATCTAATTCATACTGACTCTCAATGGTAGCTTATCATCCATTTCTATGCAGACCCTTGAAAAATGTTTCCTCTAAGTAGTATCATCCACATATATGAACTACAGCATATCTGCCACTTACTAACACTTTTCCTTAGAGATACTGGAAATACTTGTCAACTCCAACTTTACCTAATCCATGTGACTATTGCTAGCCCTTGTGACTTGATTCTATATCCATTTTATTTAGTGAGGGCTGGTACACTGCATTCAGCTACCATTCCTCAGGTAACTTTTATCCCCTCAGTAAATGACAACTACCTCTCCTAATTAATTTATTAAGGAATTATAGTAGTAAATCTTGTTCAGGTACTAAAAATATTTCTTTGGAAATTAACTGTTCAGAAGTCCTGCACTGTAGAGTTATACAGTTGCGGTCGTTTTTCCTCTAATTTTTCTTTTATCATCCCTTACTATCACTTCACATGTTATAATAACATAAATACTCAATACCACAACTCCATTACCTTTAGTTTTTAGAAGTTTTAAAACCCAGTCTATTTAATGCCTGCTTTATTCATCTTATTTTCACAGTTGCTTATGACCATCCTGAACTGAGCAAACCTCAGAGCCAAACCAGAGTGGTGGCATCATTAGTACTCCCCTTCATAACAAAGGCTTGCCACATTTTTTTATTTTATTCTCATGCTATTCCACCAGAGGCCCTTTCCTCTTAACCCATTACAAACTGGCACTTTAAAAAGCTTTTGTGAGGGACTGTCAAAACCATTTTGGAAATATAAGTACATATAATTGGATATTTTTTCAAAAGCCTTTACAACACAGTTAACACATCACAGTAGGAGCAATATAACACTTCAAAACCCCCCATACCTTCACTCCTCCACATAAACCCAGGAAAAAATACTGAAAACTGCTTTTAAATAGAGGAACCCAAAATATCAAAAATCCACTACCACTAGGCAATGTGAAAGGGAGCTGGGGATTGCCTTACCTGAAGGAAATTCCGAGGATAACAGATTATTAGGTTATTGAAAGAGTTGGAAATTAAATAATTGAATTTTACATTGGGATTTCTCCTTATGAACCCAGACTCTGGAAACTGCGGATCAAAAAGGATATTTTCCAAAAACAGGGCCATAAAGCAAAGAGAAGACAGTCTCTTTTCCGCTAAAGTTTACATGGTTTGGTGTTGAATTAGCAAAGGGAGTGCTGTTTTTACTTAGGCCTCATGTATGTTAAGCTGACTAGAAATCTAAGGACAGAGGTAAATTTAGTTTCTCATATGATACGAGAATGGCCAAGTATAAAGATATTAAAGGGGACAGAACAATAAGGAAAGTTCTTCTGGGGCAGACCTCATTCCCATTTTACCCTATAAAGCTGAATGTCTCAGCATAATTGGGCCCAAGATTACTAGAAAAAATTACTGGGATTGTTATTTGCCAATTGACATCTGCCCAGGCCTGTAAAATACTTTCAGAAGTTCAATTTACTTGCTCAAATAAAAAAATGTAATGTCTGGTAACCAATCCAGAAGAAAAGAACAGAGAGAAACAGCATACTTAAAAGATCAAAAAAGTTCTTTACATGGAAGACTTCAAAATGAGACACTGGCATCTTTCAAAAAAATGGAAGAACCTAATATACCTAATGCCAAGTAATATAGAAACCTAGAAAATTACTTTCATAGTTAAAAGCTGATGATTTAGCTAAGTTTATGAAAACAACAGTTTTGTTACAAGGACTGTTTTGCTATGCAGATGTCAAAATATTGAACTGCAGGGTTTTTTTCTGGACACTTCTCTCTTTCTACAGGTAGACATCTTCCTGGTGACTTTCTTCCAACGAATTTCAAATTGCAGGAAATATCACTCCCTGGGGGTGGGTTCCAGAAATCATACACAGTGTAGTCTGCAGAATAACAAGGATATATTTAAAACTGGTCAAAGCTAGCTAAGCTAGTGTAAAGAATCTAGCCACAGGAGTAGAACTAAGTGTGGCATGATCAATTTTCCCAGTTTCTAAGGAGTAACACTGTGAAAGGCTCGAAAACACTCCTAGAAAGAATCTCAGTGCTGTCAACTCTTTTCTTTACTAGGAAAGCAGTGACACATTTCTATGCAGTACTGTAAGTAGAAGCTGAAAAACCTAAATATGAAAGTGGTAATTTAAAAAAAAACCCAAACCTGTTGCATCTACAAGAAGCATATGAAACAGCTTCATCTACGTGAGACTATCAACAGAAGATACAGCATCCCTACTGATTTATAAATCAGGGCACAGAACAATAAGTTTTATACTTACATACAGATCATGTGTGCTTGTGTTTTTATTTTTTTCTAAATTCTACTTGCCTTCTTTCAACTTGAGGAAATAGTGATCAATTGCAAACAACTTCATTCAGTTCTCTGAAGAAAAGGTCAATTGTAAACAAGCTGATAGCCACCCCTGGCTCTACAACTAGGAGATTTGCAAAAAGTTTTAAGATATGTCATAAGCAGCTTTAATTCAAGTACTCTTACTGGTGATGTCTTACTCCTTCCATGTTCTGTATCTTTGAAAGAAAAGTTACCAAGGGTTGACTTCAATTTTCTTTAAAAGCTTGAAGAGTACAGGTTTTTTATTTTCACATACCAGCAGACACTTGCACTATGAACTGGTCATAAAGAAATAGGTATCACTTGTACAGACAGGAGGACTAAATGACCTCTCACATAAACCAGTTCAAAAACGCCACAGGCAATTTCAACAGTCTGGTTTCATAACCCCATTCCACCCATATTTATTTATCAGTTCTAGTTAACAAAACATCTGTTTATACTGTGACAGTTTAGTTGCATTAGACTACAGTTACAGAAAATAGGGCATTAAAAACCACAAGGAATGTATCCAGTGGCAGGGGGAGCATCTATGTATCTGTGTTCAGTTACCATCTGTGGTAACTAAACTGTCTTTTCTTTCAAAATTTATACATTTATGCTTCAACCTTCTGCAATATCTCCTAGCAGTTCCACAATTTATCCATATGCTACATGGAAAAGTACTTCCTCTTCACTCCGCCTGACCCAATTTTCACCTAAAAAACCCAAGACAATGGCTGTTATATAAGGACAGATGCAGTCTCTCCTCCCCTACATCAGGTCATGGGTGGAGAGACAGGCACCAGCAGATAAGAGCTTCAGCAGAGGGAGAACATCAGCCTTTCCCCTGGCACACCCAGCTTCCTCTTCTCCAGTAGTACTGCTATTTCAAGAACAGTTTACCACTTATCTACTGCCAAAATCTGGAGAGTTGGTTGCCACACTGAGAACATGGATAGTGCTCAGCATGCTGCAGAGTAACTAAAGCCACATCTGGGTAAAAAAAGCAACTTCCCAGTCTATAGACTCTCCTGATTCTCAGACCTTAGTATGCTGTTCAAGCTCATCCTTCTGCAACTATTTAACGCAACTCTTTTTCAACTTTACAAGATATAAATGCATGTTATTTTATTGCATACTTGAAGAACAAAATAATAAACCATTTCTTCAGTGCCAAGACTAAGTGTGTTTATTATTTGGTCTGCATACATAACACAGGAGGACAATTACAAGCATCTGTCAATTTCCAAACTTCTGCTGAAGAGAAATAAACCCTTTTCATGTTTTGAACTTTAAACAAAGAAACCTGATAGAGTTGGGGGTTTTTTTAAGATGAAAAATACTCTTTACAGATGTATGAGTTATCTTATTGACTGCATGCTTTGGTAGAAGAAAGGAGACAACCATGACAACAGAAGTTAAACCTCAGAAAAATTTAACACTGTGCAATTAAGCCAAATAAAAATTATGACTCTTTGAAGAACAACTACACAGAAATTAAAAGAATAATCTAGGCAGAAATCCCACAGCTAAACTATTCAGCTGTTAGAAACTGTAACACATGTAAACCTTGTCAATATTTTGATGTGCTTTGATATATTTCAGTTACGTTTTGACTTTAGGGATTAAGAGGGGGTTATTTAAATAAACTTTCAGATTACATCAAAATGGGAAGAGAGATTATGCAGGTGCTAACTCCAAGGTATTATATTACTAAAATACATCAGCTTTTAAAATAATACTGCCTTAGTAGTAAATTATTTCTGCTGATCTTTAATGTACATCTTTGAGAAAAACTTAAAGTAGCTGATCTTTTGGCAAGCAGCAACGTAAGGACATTAAAATCAGTTTACATTACTGCATGAAATTGAAAGCTGTGGTGCTGCAACTCAATTCTCTAAATGCCTCTACTTTGCAATGGCAACATCCACACACCGCCACTGTTAATACCCCAGAGCTCTCAGAATGTAACAATTAAATCATGATTTATGAAACTAGATGCCCTACATTTTCTTCAGAACGCTCTGGAAGTTTCTTCATCCCAGGTCTCTGACATTTATCAGACAGAAGTGTAGCAATTATAATTGCTTCAAAAACATCCTTAACTTCAGATTCATTTAGTCAAGTCAGTTCAAAAGTTTCAACATGTAGAAATACATACAATAAGAATGTACGATTTCACTTCCAAAAATAATCAGACTACGGCTAAAAAACCCTTTTCTAACACGCCTTGAATAACTGTTTGAATGAAAATGTCCAGCACAACTACTTCCCAGTACATTTTTCATTTCATTCAAATCTCTCACACACTGAAGTCAAGCCTATTAACCTGGCACTTTCCTTCCCTAGCACTTTCCTTCAGATCAGTTCTCCTACCGTATTGTTTCTTTTACTATGGAGAAATTAACATTTCAAAATTAAATATCCATGATTTTTAGTTGTGCTTTTGACTTCAAAACATACCTGGGATTACTGTCTCAATGCATTTCAGGGTATGCAAGAATCCTGCACCAAAAAGATCACCCTGCTCAAGTACCTTTCTGAACAAAGATCAGTAGTGCTATTAAGTCATATCCAATGGTTTTACAATGTGCAATCAAAATACTGCGTCTCCTGTGACTAAGCTGCCACAAGAACAAAGTCATTTCACTCCGTTCTCTAAAAGGGACCAACATGCAATACAGCAGTATTCCCTGACTTTAAGGATTTCTACACTATCTCAAATCCATGCTCATATATGCCCAAAAGGACGACCACTTCTCAATCTTCCCAATCTTCAGTCAACTCCAGATGACAGAACTAAAAATATTATAGAAAGTTCTCTTTTATCTACTTAATTGCACTGACGGTGTCTCATAATGTATCGTGAAAAACAATTATGGACTTTCAAATAACAGAATAATTTTCTAAGGAAAGTCATGGGAAAGCACACATGATCCCATGGAAAACAACTGCCGATTTACAGAAAGCTTTATACACTTCCTGAAGAATGAAGATTCACTTATTTTATAAAATAATTATGAAACCTTTTCCTAGCTTCCAAACTTCATGCAATCTTATGCTCACTTGTTCTTAACTAAGGGGGTATTTCAGTTTTACCTTGAAATGCACTGTGATGCTCCAAGGAAGGGCTGTATTTGATGCATGGAGGTCAAACAGCAAACCAATTGGGTAATGCCTAAAAATGACAAGATATTAGTTTAATATAGAAGCTGTGAATTTAATTCTACATATAACAGTTAACATACTTGCATTTACACAAAAAAATAAAAAAATTAGCTGTTTGAATCCCGCACTTAGCATTATTTATCACTTATTTAGAAAAATTATACATGCAAGTATAAGTGACTAACAGTTTTTGGCAGAATCGAGCCTGGAATTTACATGTTCAATATCTTAACCAGTAGTCTCCAAGCTGTGCCCACAAAACACTGGTACTTTTGCAACAGCATTATGTGGTCTACAGCTGCTCTATGGAACCCTTCAAAACAGAACCTGTAGTTAAAAAGTGTAACAGTGGCAGGAACAGTTGGTCTGACAGAAAAGCCTACATGCTTTCAGATATTTCAATACCCTGGGTTTATACCACACTGTCCCTTAACATCCTCTCCCCCTCTCACATGCCTGATGTCATTGTAGAGAATAAATCGCAAAGTGAAAAAAGCTCTTCCTTCAGTTTTCTCGCATGCAGACAAGGGCAAGATTTCCGATAATTTTTTTTCTTTTTCGCTTTTAGCATATCAAGTTCCATTATCTTTCAAAAATCATAACTAAAAGAGCCTTACTTAGCTTTTCATCCCACAAAGAGATAAGCACACACTTAAAGAGTAAACTCAGTAGGTTCACTGAATTGAATGGGACTGGTCACAGGCTGCAGAGCCAAGCGCAAACAAAAGTTTTAAACTCTGGAGAGTAATAACCGAGAGTATTGCTCTAAAAGCACCTGTGCCAAGCCAGTTTCCTGACCTGTTAAACTCTTACACAGCAGTGCTTTAGCACCCTCTGCGGGTGAGCCACCCCAAAGCTAAGACGAATTCACCACAACAGCAAAATAAAAACCAAAAAATTACTACAATTCCTGAACTTACACAAGAGCAAAGAATAAAGAGAATGCATATCCAGATTTCTCTTGGTTCATTGCTGATGCTCAAGTTCTTACCACAAAGACGTTTTACTACTAACTGCCAATCATGTCCCTTAATGGGGATTCAGTAAGAGTTCCATGAAAGGGTGTTTTTTCAGACAAGTTAACTAACAAAAATCAGATCTCTTTTCATAATAAGATGAACACAAACTTTCACAAACAAGAATAATGACTTCTACTTACTTTCAATCTATACAATAGAACATATAACTACAAAAACAAAACAAAACCCCACACTCACACAAAAATCCCTGCATCAGGTCTTGGCCTACCTCTGTATTTTCTACCCAGTATAGATTACGTAATGAAGTTCATGTAATCAAGATGTTTTCAGTAAAATCCCTGTGCTTTGCACAGTTGATAGATGCCTGATCAAATAGGGCTTTGACCTTTTGTCTTCCACTGAATCAGTGGAAGGGTCAGTCATGCACTCAGTTGGTACAAGAGAGACACCTATGGATCCAGGGTTAGAACACAATCCACAGAAAGGGGACAGAAACTCCACTGAAGGGGCATGTCCAAGTGCTCAAATAGGATGGAAACAAGCTATAGGGTGTCAACCTCTAGCATCTGCTGAAGAAACCATTCCAGCACATCCAGACTGGCATCTGGCTCAGACACGGCTCCTGAGAAAGGATGCAGCTCTCCAGGTCTCGAGCTGTCACAAGAGGTTGGGACCTTTTCTGAAGGCTGAGGCAAGCAGAGGAAATGTCCTTGCCTAGAGGAGGTGCTTGTTAGTGAAGGAGCTATGTTACCAAATCACAGAGCTGCAGGAGGTCAGTGGGCTGCACACCATCAGGAAAAACAAAGAGATGGATGGCATCTTCACTGAGACCTCGCAGAGATGAGAACCTGGTGAGGAGGAGAGATGGCAGTCATTGGAGTGGCCAACGGAGACTCAAAAAAGATGGGGAATACCAGAATCTTGTGACCTCTGGTATTGAGGAATACATTCGGTTCAGCTAGCTCAGTGCACTGCTGCAGTGCCAGCTGTAGGTTGAGCTCTGGGTGCAGGGAGCCCAAAGCAAAAGGCTGGGAACTGGCACCAACCCTCGGCATGACAAAGAGCATGGGGACCTGTGGCTGCAGCCAGGGGACCAGACACTTGGAGACACAGCAGGAGTCAATGACCCAGCAGGAAAACCCCAGACTACCATACACATAGACCGTGAGGGTATAAAAGCCCAGGATTTCCTTTGTTTGAGGTCCCTCTTCAGAGGCACCCAGCTCAAGCTGTTATTCTGTTGTTGGCACCATATAATCTCAGACTGCTTTGGGAAATCACGGGTCAAGCCAGTAAGGAAACCTTGTCTGACTGTGTGCATGTGGGGGTTGTCACACAGGACACTCATCAGGTCCCTGGAGCTGCCAGCTGCAAAGGGGCCTCAGTCCCAGCTCAGGTGGTGTGAGTATGTGACTGCCACACCATTCTGGATGGTCAGACAGTAAAGTTTCCTTAACCTCTGGCAAGAGGGTAGGCTCCTTCTCCACCTGCTATCAGTGCCTCAGTGATAGACAAGTAGCTGGAAATTCTGAGGAAGCATCAGAGCACATCCACAGCAAGAGGAAGCAGTGATAGTACTAGGAGACTATCCTACACAGGAGAGAGCTCTCCCCCATCTGCCAACCTCACTTGTTAACCTGCAGAGGTATACTGCTTGTTAGGAAGTTGCAGACTAGCACAGTTTGTCCTGTGCTTGGATTATTAGTCCTTGCAGTTCACCCACATGGGCACAAATCTTAAGTGCTGCAAGGGAACTTCTGAGTGTATCAAAGTGACCATACAGCTCTAGGGGCTGGGTGGCATCTCCACAATTCTGCCATGAAAGGACACCGGTTCAGTGAGATGTGAGTAACTGGACTTGGCTTTTACATACACAGGACATTCTTTGGGGATAAAGGACTGCTGAAGAGAGACTGAATCCACCTCAGCGGGACAAAAGTTTCTTTGCCTTCAGGTTGGCCAGCCTGGTGAGGAGAGCTTAAGATCATAAAAAACAGGAGTGTGAATAAAAACCCACAGATAAACAGAAATTAATGGACATGGGTTGAAAGCAAGTAACGAAAGGTGACAGCTACAAGGGAGACGTCAAAGTGATAAAAGAAGGTAGAAGAGAGCCTACCACAATTGTGTCTACGTAAGTGCACACAGCTTGGGAAACAAGCAGGAGAAACTGGAGTTCCACATGCAGCAACGCAGCTGTGACAGAGCTGGTCTGCCTGAGATACGGTGAGACAGCTTGCACAACTGGAATACTGTTGTGAAAGGACAGATGTAAACTGCTTAGTAAAGACATGCAGGGCACACGAGGACAGAGGGTTGTCTTCCATGTGAGGGAGTAGCTTAGATCTGTGAAACTTAATGGGACAGACAACAGGTTGGTTGAGTCCTTGTGGTTCAGGATCAGAGGAGGTATTAGTGAGGGCAACAGATCATGCAATCCAGGTAAGGAAATAGATAGAAGTCTTCTTCAAAAAACTCAAGATGTTCTGCATCACAGACCCTGTTTCATGTTAATCTCTGACATCTAGACAGAGGGACACAAGTAGTCAAGATTTCTTGACACAGACATCGGATGGACCAGACATGACCCACAGCTGAATCTGTTACTTATTAACAAGACAAAAGAGTTCTGGATGTGATAATCAGTGGCAGCTTTAGTGACCGTGAAATGGCAGAGTTAAAAATCCTGGAGAAATGACAATAAGCAGAATATAGGCTTTGGACTTCTTTTTGTCATTTCCTCCTCGTGCCCCCGCACAATTCAGGCTCAGCAACATCAGATGCACCACTGGACAAAAATTTCAGTCCTTCACCTGCAGCCAGAACTGAACCTATGCTGTACTTACATAAATGCAGGTATAGAAGGAACCTTCCTCCCGCTGCCAGAACTCATAAGCTTCCTGCTCTTCCATGTCTTAGGAGACTGCTTTTAATCCAATAATCACAGACCTTGCCTGCATTTCCTTCAGTGTAGTTGTAGGTTTAGGCTCCTGTAGCTGCAGGATCTCTGAGATTTGATCCATTTCCCTTTGTAGTCACTAATGCTGCACAATCTGGTAACCTCTTCCTGCAGCTCCTTACCCTGGTGACACAGACCCTCCCCCACCTCCTGTGGGCAAAGAGACCATCTTCCCCTGTCCCAACATTCTCAGTGGGAAGCCCCAGGCCCCTGTAAACTCCAGACCTGGAGAGCTTCATCCTCCTTCAGGAACTTGGCCCATGTGCTGCAGCCCATGAAGTTGAAACTATGTTTCAGACTTCCTCCAAAAATCTCGCTGGAAAATAGAAGAGCTGCAGCTGAACAGAGATACACTTTATCCCAACCAGATATGAAACTGCACCAACTGTAAGCAATATGACCTCACAGTAAAAAGTAAATAATTAGAATAAGCAAGATTATGAACAAGTTCTATTTGATTCTGAATGCAGAATCATAGCTAAAAATATTAAACATTAATACTCATTCTTTCTCTACAAACTACTAGCTCAATCTAATTCTCAGTTGTGGTATTTGGGTCTTTCCTGGAAGAAGCTTCAGCTATGTATGGCATTACCATTCTCCTTAAATAATGGTTTGCTAATAGCATTTTCCTTAGAAATGCAATTCCACTGAAATGAACGCTGTTCCTGGCAGAATCCGCTGAGCTTTTCTCAAAGATCAGAGCCTTAATTAGCAGATCATCATTACACTATTCATCTCCATTTCACTGTGCAATGAGTTTACTAACTCTTCACTTAATTATAGAATTTTAATTTATATTTTACTGTATACCTATATTCTACAAATTTTTTTTTTAATTCTAGTTTAACTATCATGGTATTTGAAAACTTATAGAAAATACAGTTGTATTTTTGTTGATATAAAAAGCCTCTCCTTCCTTTCTTGTTACAGTTTAAGTGAAAACTTACAGTTTCCTCCCATTATCAACCTGACATTATGAACAAACCAGGAAAAGCTTGGTACCTTGCTGTTTATTTAGACAGTATCCAAGACTCAAAGTCACTAAGGCACACAAGAAATTCTTGTTAAATCCCAGATAATTTAAATAGATCTTTAAAGCTAGTTTTGCCAGACAGTTATGAAAAAGTTTAAAAAGGTAGATTTTATGCTTTTTTCTAGTTACCTATTTTCAAGGCTTACTAAGGTTGGTCTCAAAGAAACAAAAGACTAGAAGAGATCTACTGTATCACCAAGTCTATGGGGACTCCACGATGTAATGCTTGTCATAAGACAATCCAGGTTCAAGAATAAAAAAAAGTCACTGGTAGTTTTCTTTCCTGTTATGATACAGGAAATAAAAAGAGAAAAAAATCTCTTCAGCACTCAAAATACTAAATACCTCCTGGAGAGCTGATGCTATCTATACAGAGATAGAAAACACTGCAGCTCTCAAAGTATTTTCTTTAAAACTCTTTAATAGCAGAAGAAGAAACAACACCTGATGAACAGTGTTTATCAAAATTAATTAAATGAAACAATGTCAGTCTGATTCCCTAACCTCTCACAAAAAAAAACGCAAGACCCCAAAACCCCAAAAGAAGATAGTTTTAAGAGACTATAGGACAGAACAAAAATAAAGTTGAACTAATTGAATTCAACAAAAGCTAGCAGATCAGTATTAGATTGTTTTGCAGTGCAAACACATATGACACCAGTGAAAACTGTTACACGTTTTATTATCTTTAAGCATTTAACCTATTTGCACTCAGATTCCAGAAATAAACTTCTTCCTATCTGTGTCATTAGACATATTTTAAGAAGGTGGAATAAGTTAAAGCAAGATTTATTTGGCAATTCTCCTGCAAGAAACAGCAAGGCCAAAATCACAGGCATTTCATTTTACACTAACAGCTCGCACAAAAACAGTAAGCACAGAACAACCTCTGCCTTGAACATGTTTTTTTTTTTATTCTGCTTGTATTTTTACTATATGTATAAAACTAAATCTTCTGTTGTTTTCCCCAAACAACATGCTTTTCTTACCCTCCTCCCCTTTTGCCATCTTGGAAACCCAAGGGAGTGATTACTTCAGGAGCAGTACTGACACTGCGCTGAACCTGCGAACTCATTACATGATAAACTGTGTAAAGGTACAAAGTTAAATAAACTCACCATTTCAGTGGTGTACCTTCATATTCAAACCATATTTCACTAACTTCCTCTTGTCTCATAACTTTCTGAAAGTGTTTCTTCACTTTGTCTGTTACCAGTGTCAAGTAGCTTATCCTTGGCAAAAGCAACTGAAAGAAAATTATAGAAGCTTTGAGTATATACAAAATATGCTACATTAATAAAAATCTGTAACAAGTATGCACTTTTATAACAAAAATTCAGTCAGCATTCTCTTTTTCCCTTTTTCAAGGTAAAATGTCTTTTAGACATTAAAACATCTTTAGGTTACTAATGAATGGTCAATGAAAGGCTATAAAATTATGTACTCAAAGGATGAAGAGCATCAGTATCCAACAAACTAATACAAAAAATTGTAAAAGAATCAAAAGCAAAAAATAGTATAAAATTAAGTTCTTGATTCTTTCAATGCGGTGGGAGGGTGAACAGTGGAATTCAATTTCTGCTTTTCTGTATTTAAGCAGGCTAAATAATGAAGTCTTAAACCTTTTTCATATGAACACAAAATAAGAGATTCTAACTTCTTACTGAATAAAATAAGCAACTGTTTATCAGCTATTATTTCAAAACAGAAACTTGTTCACAAGAAAGAAAAAAAAGGATTGAAAACTATCTGCTTAAGGGTTTGATTTCGAAGTGTTTTATACTTCCAATAGCTGGAAATTTCCATTTTCTTTGCACTGGGTTTGCCAATTCAACATATTAGTCAAGGCTACTATGATTCTTCCTCTATCTAATCTTTGCGCTGCAACTAAAATCAGAAAGAAAACTGTAAATATTTTATCAGTTGAAGCAAGACACCTTCTTACAGCATTCTCATATACTATCTTTTTTTCTCAAGTGTACCATAATACACTATTCAAATCAGAATGCTGTACTATTTTTATTTGCAACCTCCTTCCCTCCCTGTTTTTTAAAAATCTCATGCCTAATAAGAGTGGTTAAGCAGACTGCATCAATCAGTGCACTAACTGACGACTGCGGGGCACATCTTTCTTCAGATAAATCAGTACGTAAGCATTAGAAAAAGATGCCTTTCAGTGTCCCAATGAGAAAAAATTAACCTCCCAGTAAAATAGCCATTAGCTTTAGAACAGACATTTTAAATTAATAGTATTCATCCTGTAAAGTTTTGCTTCATAATTATTAATAAAAATAGATAGATCTAAAGAATACATAAATTTTATTCTGCATTTTTAGAGAAACATTTGTTTTACAGTGTTCCTCACAACCAGTGTTGCTTCCTAAAGCATTTTCTTTATAGTATATGAATAATGCTAGACCAACGTGAATGTCTGTGGTACACACATCCCAAACCATGCAAGGATATATTTGCCTGATGGAAAATTTGATCTCTGCTGCAGCATTCTTCCAGAATTTCTCCAACAGTTAGACCACACAATGAGATATATATCAGATAATATTTTGGCCACGATACTATGATTTATAAATATCAGATACACAAAGAAGTATGGAGAGTAAATCAAGTTCTTAAAAGAAGAGAACTGATTGGTTTTTTAGATAATGCTACATTAGGTTACACCTGTGACACAGCTAAATTTTACAATTATATAAAACTATATAAGATCAAGTCTCACCACTTCACAGTCAACACATACACTGATTGTTCCCGAGAGAATATAGTCCAGGCTATTCCAATCATATTTTTGGTAATAATTTTGTATTATTTCTGTATGATAGTTATAATTAAATTAATGCTGGTGTGTTCTGATAAGACTTATTTGGGCTGTTACAAAAGCCAATTTTCAGCATGCTGCATGTGGCATAGCCATTGATAAATACATGAAAGCATTATTTATTGCAACAGTGTTTGACATAACCCTTTAAACTGTGTAACTTCCTCTGTAAAATATTTTATTTCAGTTTGTAGTGTGAAAGAACAATGCAGTTTCAATTTCAACACAATTAGAGATCACAGACAATAACCAAACGGTATTTAGATGAATTTAACAGAATTGGCCAGCACTCCCAAAAGGCGTCTCTGAAGTACAAAACCCAACAGTTACTCAGATTAACGGGACTACCTGTTTTTCAGAGATGCTGAGCATTTGTAGAATCCACTGAACTCTTTTCTTGGTCTTCCCACTTCTTTTACCTTGTTACAGTCTTCCCCTTCCATGGGAAAAATAAAAGGATCCAAACCTATCACTTTTCTAGCTTTAATTATCTTAGAGATTGACAAGTATACTAACCCCGTTAAGTGAGAAGCACAGTTTAAAAACATGTTCATTTTGTTACCTTTTAATATCCCTTCTCCACCAGCAGAAAGAAAACAAGTAAGATTAGAAGCGCTCCTCATTAAATTAAAAAACCAAAAGTAAATCTCCAGATACATTAGCAGGCAGAATAAATCCTAGTAGGCTAGAACATGCCATCCCTAAATGCCATCCCATTACACAAATGGCAACAACAACTTCCTTTTGCATATTGTATATTGCTACAGTTTTGTCACAATAACCAGGAGTGTTTTCTCATGAACCGGGAGGTTAAATGAAATACAAGGAACTCCTAATGCCTAAGCAAATGTTTGCAACATATCATTGTGTAAAAAGAGCACCTCTCCAGATATCTCCACAGGTTTTGTGGCAGAGCAAAACAGTATTTTACGTGCAAAACACTGTAAAACAGAAAAATTACAGATTTAACAGCAACTGGACTGGTCTGATTACCAAAGCGTCCAGGAAGATGAAACAAAGCATTCTAACATGGAATGGCTTCACATTGCTCACTTTTACAGACACCTTAACAAGACAGCACTTTTGACATCGAGGAAGCTAAAAATGTGGCCCTGTTAAAGACTAGACCCTTTGGCAGAACATCGTTTTAAAACACTCTTCTGCTGTAATTTTGTTCCTTATACACCTGACAATTCTCAGCCAATTAGTGTTCTGCTTCCTGCATGCATTTTCTTTCTAACTGTTGTTTGCACAAAGAGGCAAACAGCATACAATTTTAAAATAAAATTCATAACAATTTTAGGACAAGGGAAAAATCAGACAGATCAATAAGAAAAAGCAGTTCAACCTAACTATTCCTAAATATGCCTCCGCTCAAAACAAGCATCTGTAGGACACACTCCAAAGAAAATTGAAATATCCATTTCCAGTGTAACTCTGCAGAAACCTACCTGATTTGACTATAGCAACAGGACAGTGTTTTACCAGAGCTGCTTAGTCTTTACGTGATTACTCTTTCCAAAAGACAGGCAAGTTAATTTTAAATTACTTCTCCAACCCCCATGCAGTGCCATAAGGCGATGCATATATGCATCACTCCCATGTTGTGCTAATCCATCTGACAGACAAGGGCCTCCTGTCACACCACTCACAACAAACCGAAATCCTTCATGCAGATTCTGGGTTGTTTTTCTAACCGCTCACCCTCCGAGTCTATGTCATCCTTCATCTTCATAAAGCAAGTTCCCCTGAGCAGAATATGTTATGCCCACTTAGCATAACGATGGCTGTATTTCCCTCTCATGCAGCCTTCCCATTTATGAAAGGCAGTTTGGAATACAAGTTTTGAGGTAAGAAGTACATAAAGCTGAAGAGCTCATGTCACGGGCTGGGAATGTTAACTACATATATTATTTTTTATTTTACCCATAATTTTAGGGGTTTGATGTTTTAGTTCAATTTAGTTGATGTTTAGTTCAATTTAGCTCAAGTTTGACCCCATACACTGAATGTTTATTAGCAGCTAAAGTACATCTGCTGCTTCAGCTTCACGTGAAAATCACTCAGCTTGTGGGCTGTAAGACTGCTGTGTGATGCCAACCTGAGCACAGCAAGTGGAAAGGATGAATACTTGCTTCAAAACGCACTTCAGATCTGAACAACAACATAAACGTAGACACACTCTGAAACCACAAGAACTGGAGTATGATTTAAAACCTTGATTGTTATCCTGCCTTTTACTATTATAAATCCTTTGTCCTTTCAAGAAGTAAAGCTATACTATTAGCTCCAACGTGACTTGAAAAATGAAGAAACTAAAATTTTAGAATTGTCATGCGTGAATAATCATATTTTGCAGAAATAAAGAGTTAAGCACTGAGAATTTCTGCACACAGTTTAAGTGGAGTAAATAAAAGAAACCCTAGCAGCTTAAAACTATCTCCTTTGCCTAGAAAGATGGCCACATCATGACGATAACATGGTTTCAGGGTTTCCATGCTAATGTTAAACAGATTGAGACTGCACATCTCTATATTTAAACTCATACCTTTCAAGTAGCTCCTAAACAATATAAGCACATACATTTTAAATCACATATATATAATTTCAAGTGTGAGACTTCTAGGTAGCTCAGAAGTAAAGTAGCTAGTTATGAAGCAGAAGTGCTTATCTTTTACCAGTGGTAAAACTAAAATACAGAAAGATGAGCACTATTATCACAGAACAAAAAGCAGTTATGGTTTATTAGGTTTCAAAACCCCACTAAATACACATTTCTGATTCAGTAAATCAGAAAATGATGACACAAAGATGCTGCTGAACACAGAAAAAAAGTTCTATTCAGTGTATAAAGGGATATTACAAGACTTAAGAATTTCAGAATCGCATAAAAATTAGTAATTCAGGATTTTCCTTCCATGCACTTGTTACATTTCAAATTTAAGTTTCACTGAATCAGCCAACATTCTCTATGAATCAAATGTCTATTAGGTGCTGAAAGAATGAAAACTGATGAGTACACTATAAATAAATACCATGTGACTACCGAAGGCACTTCTAGCTTACAACTCAAATACATCCATCATCCTCATTTTTATTATCAGCTAGCAATCCAGTTCAGGCACTGCTCCGTTAAATCATTTCACTTGCTTTTCTTACTGTTGAGCTATATCTCTCATGGCTGCTGGCATTTAAAGAAAACAAGCAGAAGTCATCCATGAGCAGAAATACTGGAGCCAGTGGTCATCATCAGTTTGCATTACACAGGTAACACAAATCCTGGTGTTTAGGATTTCAATAAAGCTCTGACTGAGTATTTTTGTATTAAGGCAACATAAAAGTTCTCTCCCTTCTGGTCACTAGCCAAGAACACACAAAGTCATGTAGAGCCTCCTTCTTTTACCTAATCACTTCTTGATTTTTTGTAACTTTTTTAAAAGGCTCTTAATGATCGTGGTAAGTTTCTCTCACTAGTGAAACAAGACTGAAGTTTTCAATCTGCTGTGAGGAGAGACAAATCACACGGCATGCTTATATGTTTACCTTCAGAAAGTACCAGGAATAGGAAGAAAAACGTTGTGTTTTTTCATAACATGCACTGGCACACACGATAAGAATGAAGGAAACAAACATTACCATGGCACTGGACTATTTGTGACTACCTCTGTCATACTCACATAGTAAGGTTCAGCTTCCCTCTCAGTTATCTCATCCTGATACAAAGTGAAACAGGTCGGTATTCGCCCAAACCACACATCTCGAAGCACATCTTTGTCATCTGTCATTCTTCCAATGGACAGTGAAGCACATGTAGACCAATTTGTTTCTTCAGCTAAAACTGTAACAAATTCCCCCACCCCCCAAAAAAAAACAAGTCAGCAAGACTGTGAATAAAAAACAATCTTGTTAAAGGTTCTTCCATAACTACGCTCCTGCAGGAGCGCCCAACGCTGTCACCGGGGCATTAAACGCATCACTTGGTACAAAGAACGGGATGAATTAAGTCCCCAGCTACAAACACACGGTGGATAAGGAGTAAACCAGCGTTTCCTAAGGCTGCATCACACCCCAGCCGCAGAGCCAAAGGGACCCTTCCCGTTACCGCCCCGCAGTGACCCCGCAGCCCCCGCACCGCCGCGGCCCCGGTGCCCCGGGCAGGCGGCAGAGCCTGTGTCTGCAGACGGGGCGGGAACACCGAACGAGCCGGGCCCTCCTGCCGGCGGGGCCGGGACCAGCACCGGCCCGGGGGTCACCGAGGCCGCAAGACGGGCCCCAGCATCGCCCAGCGCCGCCGGCGCCCCGACAGCAGCTCGGGGGGGGGGCGGTCCGACCGGGCCCCACGGGGTCTGTCGGTCTGTCTGTCCCTCCGCCTCCCTCTCTCCCTGCCGGCGGCCGCCCCAGGTGAATCAGCGGCACTCCAGCCGCGCGGGGCCGGACCGGGGAGCGCCGCGACGGCGGTGCCGGGCGTGCTGTCCCCAGGTAGCGAGGGGGCCGGGGGACGGCCGCGGGCGGGCCCGGCCGTTACCTCTGTCGCGACCGGCGACACCCGCCGCCCGCGCGCGGGGCAGGAACCGATCCGCGGCCACGCCCCCTCGCGCGGCCACGCCCCCCGCGCACGCGCCGCCTGTCGCGCGACTTCCGCCCGACTCGCGGCCCCGCCCACACCGGCGCCGGAAGCCGGAAGCGACGGGGTGGGGAGGGCGGGCCCGGCGGGAAGGGCTGTCCTGTTGTCGGTCCGGGAGTCGGTCCGCGAGTCGGTCCGCGAGTCGGTCTCCCGCCACCCCCAGTGCGCTGGTGATGCTGCAGCGGCAGCGCCGAACACGGGAGGTCTCTGGACTGCAGCTGTGCCGGGCCAGCTCCCGAGGCGGTGGCGGCGGGACCGCTCAGCCGATGAGCCGCGCGTCTGAGGATTCTGAGCACTTGATCTCTCTGCTCTCTCTTACCCGATTGTTATCTTCTCCTGTTTCTCCAGGGGAGTGGTCACAGCACCAAGCCTGTCAGAGTTCATGAAGGGTTTGGACAAGGCTCTCAGGCGTAGGGTGTGATCCTCGGGGCTGTCCTGTGCAGGGCCACGAGCCGAACTCCACGATCCTTGTGGGTCCCTTCCAACTCGGGATATTGTGTTACTCTTTGTATAGTAGTCTTATCCACCGTGATAGATGGAGCAAGTCCAGGGGAGGGCCACGAAATTGATAAGAGGGCTGGCACACCTACCCTATGAAGACAGGCTGAGAAAGTTGGGGCCTGGAGAAGAGAAGGTTGTGTGGAGACCTCATGGCAGCCTTCCAGTATCTGAAGGGGGCCTACAGGGAGGCTGGAGAGGGACTCAGCAGCAACTGTAGTGATAGGACAAGAAGTAATGGGTACAAACTGAAAGAGGGGAAATTTAGGTTAGATATTAGAAAGAAAATCTTTACTGTGAGGGTAGTGAGACATTGAAACAGGTTGCCCAGGGAGGTTTTGGGTGCCCCATGGCAGGGAGGTTGGGAGTAGATGATCTTTAAGGTCCTTTCCAACCCTTAATGTTCTGTGATTCTGTGATTTTATAGCACAATCACAGGAGGATGAGGAGTACCTGCTGCCACCAGTGACATCTGTTGCATACCAAAGCATCATTCTGGAGTGTTTTTTATTGGCACAGTAGGGCCAAGTTCACAGTGAACTCCACCTCTGCATTTTAAAGGATATCTCCCACAATCTTGTCACTCAGCAAATCCCCATCAGCTGTCTTAAGTCCAAGGAAGATATGGATCCTAGTGTGCCACACACTCACAGTAGTAGAAGCTGGGTGTTCCTGGCAAAACGCACGACTTCAGCAAACGTTAATACAGCGGGTGTTTGGGCCGTTTGGAGGAGAGCTGATACACTGGGGTTTTACCTGGTGGGGGTGGCACACGCTGCAGTTTCAGTAGTGCCACGTTCTGGCCATGCCGCCTTCTGGCCACCAGATGTCACGCAGTGGCCACTGCAGCTGAAGGAGTCTTAAGGAATTCGGGAACTGACTGCAGTTATTACTGACTTTTCGTGGCGTTCACACGAAGACTCGCATTTTACTAAATTTGTGCGTTGCTGACCCAACAGCATGACTTGTGTAACTCTAGTATTTTCTTCAGTCATCTGAAGGATTAGAAAAGTCTGAAGAGCTTGTGTTTTTTTCCCCCCTGATTTAAATAAGTTTGTCACAATGACCTATTTTTTATAAAACATAATATTCTGAACATGAGCCCTAATACAAAATGATCCTTTTTGGCTAGTGCTCTATAAGCAAAAACTTAAGTTGTGGCAGTTTTGTGCTTGGGGACATACACAGTGAAGCTCTCCTTACCTTTTCTCCAAGGGTTTTTGTACCATTAATTAAAGAAGCAGGTAAACTGCTGTAAACAGGGAGTAAATGTAATATTAGGTATGGTCTACCCAAAGCACAGGGGAAGAAGACACACAGCACTTGTGATACTGCAAGGGCTTTAGGCTCTGAAGGCTTTATGCTCCTAAATATAAGCAAACAACGCTCACCTTGGGGTGCACATGTTGGGCATGATGGTGAAGGGGAGAGGTTCCTCCAGAAGTATTGCCTGTGCACTCACCACAGTTTCAACTAGTATGTGAAAACGATTGTCATGCAGACCTGGAATGGCAGGAAACCTGCACAGAACTGATCCCACAATTATAGAGGCATCCAGCCCACAAGCACTGCACGTTGCTAGAGGCTTCTCCCTCCGTGTGTTTCTGCAAGGAACCCCCTGATGCTGTCACAGCTCTGCTGAAGCCAGTCACATGTGGAGCTGCTATGGGATGCCAGCACCACAGGAAGAAAACAAAAAACCCAAAACAAAAAACAACAAGATTTTTACAAGTAGTTTTCCCGGTTACAGGATTTACAAACTTTCAGAAAGCTTTGCATGTATGGATTTCCCTACAGGAAACCAAGGAGAACCACAGGTTTAGTCTTTGCCTTTCCTCCTATGAGCTCCTCTGAGTTCTATAGAAAAGGCTTGTTTTGGTGGGGTTTGTAGGCTGAAGGGTTTGGCTGATTGTTGTAGCAGCATCACAGAGATAATGCCAGCTCATTTTTTCTCACAGGCAGGAAGGATTCTGCCAGCACTGCTATTACCAATAGTACTGTTAGTGTGACTGTACTGAGAATGTGTGTGGCCCCTTCTTGACACTGCCTGTGCTCACCTCTCAAGGTCTTAACCTCTGCTGCTGTAGCTCTTGAAGCATGGCATTGTCCAGCTAGACTGTGCAATCAGCATTCTCTTGATTACTAATGACAGCTACCAAACAGATTAAACACACATTTTTGCATTATTCTCTCATGTATGGTATAAGGAACATAAGCACCTGACTCAGGCATATGGATTCCACTTCATAGGCTGAAAATAAAACACCATTGAGTGCCCAAGTCTTTTGCTGGATCTAGATACAGGATACCGAGTAGAGAATAAAACACAGTTAAGTTATACACTTAGATAACTTGCTATTTAGAGTATCTTTGTATTTAAATGTCCTAGCAAACTCCTGATGTAGTTACCAGACACAGATGCAGCAAGATACATTTTAAAAATCCGTCTGAGATTATAAAGACAATAGTTCAACAGGCAAATGACGCTCTGATACTAAGTTGATTGTAGGTAAACATACAAGACACAATGTGACTACCAAACAAATAAAATAAACCTGGTGAATGACAACTTAGCTATTATTATGACTACAAATAATGAATCCAAATCCAAACATTAAAAGTAATTGCTAGGATGTAATGTCAAAACAGATACAATAAAAAAGGAATTACCTCCTTTGGCATGTTGTTTTCCACATTGTTATCTAATCCTTTAAGTTGCACCATCACTTGGCGGAATGGACCACTCTAAATTGGAAGGGGAGCTCAGCAAACATATTTCCAATTCCAAAGGTCCTCAAGCAGTATTCCCCCATTTTAAACATCATCATCAGACAACACACAGTTAGTCATTGCCTAATGGCACCTGAATCAAAACACCTGTTATTGAGTACATATGCAATCTAAAGATGCTTGTAACGAACAAGATTATAATTAAAGATGCACTAATTCTAACAGAAATCAGAGAAATGGAACAGATGGTTTACATATTTGTGGGCAGTTATGTTTTGGTGTAATGATAGTGCAGATGAAGATTCGTAAACAGGATCAGTGTATAATTTAGGTTGGAAGGGACCCTTGGAGTCCTCTCCTGAACTCTGGGCCAACACCCCTTCTCAAAGCAGGAGTAGCTGCAAAGTCACAATGTGTTGGTAAAGGCAAATCACACCAACATTTGGTTGCTGAAAAGTTACCTGAGATAAAACATGAAATAGTATCTTCCCCTGTATTTTGCTAGAACTGGGATAACTGATACTTATTGCTTTGATCACATGGAAAGAATTTAATGCTGCTTTCATAGAAAGCCACCTACATGTGTCACCTACACATACCACAAAATAAGGATACTTTGTAAGTATATAATGTATATACTTACCTACATAAGTTATACATACACATACGTATAAGAAAGAGCCCTGGCTCCTCTCTATGTAAAACCTTGACTTCATTAAATCATTGGCAAAACACACAGATACGTGAAACTTAACTTGTTCCAGCATTATTTTACTAGAAACTGATCAGCAATCACTATTCATGTTTTCCCTTCGCTTCTCCAACAGTTTTCAATAGAAAGCAAAATGTATTTTGTTTTAATTTCCTAGCTATTGTCTTTCGAGTGTGTAAACAAAACCAGATTGTGAGAATCATTACTGTACACCTTTTAACATGCAACAGTGAGTAAGAGTCAAATGAAACTCATAAAGCTGCTATTTATATCTAGCTAAATAGTTCATTGTTGCGTACTCCCAGTGAAGAATTAATTTGATTAATTACATGAGAAGCTGACTCATTCATCTGAGAACTTCCTGTAAATATTACAAGATTCAAGTACCACGTCTGATGGCACTTAATGTTTCCATGATACATTTCTAATTTATAAATTGGTGGAAGTAAAAAAATCACTCTTACCTGGATATAATTTTCCTTTTTTACTCTCTTCATCTATTAATATTTGTATTCTGTAACAGCAAATATATTTGGAAATATCCTAGACTGTTTTTGAACTCTTTCTTGTCTAAATAAGTGAGGTGTGCTGACAGCTATCTTCGTTTTCCCTCACAGTTTGGGTTGGAAGGGGACTCTGAAGATCATTTAGTCCCAATCCTCATTTCCTATTTTAGTTCTAACTTAAAATTTCTAAGTCATATTTCAGACTATCAAAAAAAATATTTTTTTATTCTATAACAAGTGACTGGACATTAGGAATCCTAGTTGTAGGTCTGCTGCTTATTATTTACCTTGAACAAAATTTCTTCATTATGCTATTTTGTCACAGACTCATTAAGACATCTTGGTCTTAAGTGAGGAGGGGAAATAACCAATTTTTTTTTTTTTTAATTTCACATTATGTACATATAGAGATTTCTTAAGAACATAAACCAGATCATAAGCTTTCTTTTTTAATATATGGACAATGCCAACAACCAATTATTCACTTAGGTACATTTTTACCCCTCTTCATATTAATACTAAGTAATACTTATT